CGACCCCACGGCCGCCCGTGACCCCTTGGGGTGTAGGGGCTCTGAGAGCGTCCCGTTTGACCGCCGTTGGCAGCCACACCCGTTAACTTCTTACTTAAACGGGCCTGAAAGTCGGTAATCCTTAGTGACCCCGCCCGGCCTTAACCCCAGGCGGACAGGCACCCCACAGGCACCCCGCAGGCACCCAGGCCCGCAACCCTCCCTCCCCTGTCCGGTATGCAGCGAGACGGAGTCGGGAAACACTTTCGGAGGACGGGAAAAGGGTTCCGCCAGTGGCACGCCTCCTCGTCGCGCCACGCTCCAAGAGGGCTTGACCGCCCCTCCAGCAGCGCCTCTCTCTCCGCTGGAAGCGGCTCTCTCCTCCGGCAGGAGGGAGCCTGGCTGGAGATGGCTTGTGTGTCCCGCGGTGCGTTTTGTCCAGTCCGTCAGTCCGTCCGTAGAATCTGCTCTTTTCTTTTCTTTCTTTTTTTACATATTTGCGGAGGACGGAACGCAGCTGCTGCAGCCTGAACTTTGACGCTGGTTGTTGTTATTATGAAGGCATTTCGTTATGTTGCAGGTATGTGGGCGGCAGCGAGCGGACCGAAATACTTTGCCAAAGTCGCGTAACGAGGATACGCGCCATCCATGAAAATTCCACAAGACGAGCCCCTAGGTGAGTCCCGCGCAAAAGTTTCCACTTCTGTGTTTACTTTGGGGACGCTGCTTGGAGCTTGCCGCTGCCGCCGCTGCAGCCTGTAGTACTGCAGCGGCAAGCTGGCTTGAGCTGTCCTGGTCGAGGAAGGGGTTGAGAGGCAGGAGGAGGAGGCAGTTGTCCTGCGCCCGGGTGGACCCCCTTGGCGGGGGCGCTGCAGGACGACGACGACAAGCCTTTCAATCCATCTTCTTGGTCCTGCCCGGCCCAGGACTGCCCCTTGTCCGGCCGGCTGGGTTGGCTCCCAGGGAGTGGTGTGTGTGCGCGCGCGCGCGCGCGTGTGTGTGTGTGTGTGTGTGTGTGTGTGCGTGTGTGTTTGTGTTTGTGTATGTGTCCAGTCGGGCGGACTCTCTAACCTTGTAGACCGTTACACGCCCAGAGATAACAGTAAAATGTAAATGTACGTCCTTGGGAACGAAAGATGTATTTCGAGAGCTGGACTTGGTATTGTACTAACGTTACTGCGCTAGTAATCATAATAAACTTACACTGTAAACCAAATTAACCAAATTTGTTGTTGTCAGAGAAGACTTCAGTAACGTCCGCGGCAGCATACAGTTATCGTGAGCTTTGTCAGACTTTCGTTTTTAAAGTCCTGACGACTACTTGTTTCTAATTTCTACTTTATTGACGCGCAAAATAAAAAAAAGCTGAAATGCTCAGCCCAGAAATTACATAATAATTTTCGGTGTGCGTTTTCCCCTAAACACGCGCGTTCACATCCGTAGTGTGCGATACCCAGCAGCAGACCCGCAATCTCTTACAGTCCCTTGCGGCTGGGACGCCTCTCCAAGGGCGGCCCGGCGCGCTCGCTTTGCGTTTCCACGCGGTTTAGCCGCTGCTCGCGTACACACAACTACTGCAACACCCGTTAGACCCACCCGAGCCAGGAACCTTCTATACGTTACCCACACACGTGGAAGCTCCATGCGCACACCTGCAGCGGCGGGCCGGCGTGGCCGCGCCAACTGCGGCAGCCGGCCTGCCTGCCAGCCGGGGCGGCAGCCGGGGAGGGCGCGGGGCGTCTTCCAAAGTCTGTTGAAAACCGTCGTTATCCCTGAATGGTGTGTCCCCAGGACCATAGCGGCGCACTGCAGGGCGAGCCGGGTCCGCACGAGGGGTGGGGTGCGGCGGGGTGGGGGGTGGCCGTGGCGTGGCGGCGGGGAGCAGACGGCCCACAGAAACAACTTTGGGCGGCTTCGTGTCGGGGTCCGGCCGGGACCGGGACGGGGGCTTGATAGGGAACCACAGAGGGAGGCCCAAGGCTTGGGCGAGAGAGAGAGAGGGGGTGGGGGCTAACAGGAGTTGCTCGTCTAAGGGTGATCACAAGGCGTACGGAGGCGGGGGCGGCGCTTCGCTTCGAGCTTCGGGCCCAGAGATTTATATTTCGTTAAAAATTCATCATCGGTGAGGGCAGTGGACCCGGTGGAGGGAGGGGTTCCTTGCCTTCCCTAGGCGTCTGGGGGGAGTCTTTGATTGCAATTATTTCATCGACGTCTTAACGTTAATGACGGAGTTTGTCGAAAGTTTGGCCTCCTGCAGCTTCTAGTAGGTAGGAGAAGCAAAGGTTAGAGAAAGTCTGCCCGTGGTGAGGATTGAATTCTCGCCTAATTCTGGACAACTTCATCTCTCTCTCTCTTACTCTCTCTCTCTCTTCCTTCGCCGTGTCGGACCGTCTCACTCCCTCACCATATGTTTGCGTGCGTCGTGCTGGGCAAACCCCTTTTGCCCCCGCCTAGCCGGGCGGGGCGACTTCTTGTCTTCAATTTCTCTCTTTCTCTCTCTCGCACCCACGCCCTGGCCCATACCAGCGTCGCCCTCCCTCTCACAAGCGACGCCACTCTCTCTCTCTCTCTCTCACTCGCTCTTTCTCCTTTATGTGGCAACTTTCGGCCGGCGCGCGCGCGGCTGAAGTTTGCCGGCTGAACGTGCGGCGCGGAGGTTAGGGGTCGGCGGCCGCCCCCCTCGCCACCTCGGAAGGGCCGCGGTGATGTAGGAGGGCAGCGCGGTGGTCGCGGGGTCGCTCCGGGGGTCCACCCCGCGAGGCGGTTTGCAGTCCCC